CCTAAACCCTAAACGCCCTGAACCCCGAACCCCAAAGCCCTAAACCCCAAAACCCTCTGTCTGGTACGAAATTTCCAGAGGCCTAGAGCCGAAACGAGGCTTGGCGAGCTGCAGCGTCGACAGCGCGGAGGGTATGTGCCGCAAGCCGAGGGTGAACCACTGCTGCCCGAGGACCTTAGGGGTTCAGGGGTTTAAAGGGTTTACAGGGTTTAAAGGGTTTAGGGTTTAGGGGTTCAGGGTTTAGGGTTTAGGGGTTTAGGGGTTTAGGGGTTTAGGGGTTTAGGGGTTTAAAGGGTTTAGCGTTTAGAGGTTTAGGGTTTGGTTTAGGGGTTTAGGGTTTAGGGTTTAAAGGGTTTAGCGTTTAGAGGTTTAGGGTTTGGTTTAGTGGTTTAGGGTTTAGGGGTTTAGGGGTTTAGGGGTTTAAAGGGTTTAAAGGGTTTCGGGGTTTAAGGGTTTAGAGGTTTAGGGTTTGGTTTAGGGGTTTAGGGGTTTAGGGGTTTTAGCGTTTAAAGGTTTAGGGTTCGGTTTAGGGGTTTAGGGCTTAGGGTTGAAAGGGTTTTAGGGGTTTAATGGGTTTAGGGTTTAGGAACATGCCGTGCTTGACCCTTTCGACTTGAGCCTTCGGGCTCAGGGCTTGGGGTTAACATGGGGGCCTGAATGATTACCTATATTATTTTCGGGGGTCCTTATTACTATCGTTATAGTAGAACAGACCCCAAAACCCTGTTCTAATTACTAAGGCTCCTTGGGCTTCAGAGTTTTAGAAACCTTCACAAAGATCTCATAATCCCCTAAACCTTAAGCCCTAAAACCTTTGTGGGGACCATATGCCCCTCTTTCAGGGTACAAGGAGGGTCCCGGGAGTCTGTGGAGGTTGAAACCCAGGGTCCGGAGTTTAGACTCGGGCGCTGCTCGAATCCCTCACAGTCTGACAGTCTGGGCCCTCAAGACTGAATCCGTCCCTCTACACCCTAAATGTAGGGGCCTTAATAGTTAGAGTAGGGTTTTGGGGTGTATACTATACTATAAGTATAAGAAGGAACCCGCAAAATAGTTTAGGTATGTTTAGGTACTTATCAAATTAGGGTACCGTCCTTCTAGAAGAAGGAACCTGTTATTTGGGGTACTATGCCAGGGTCCCCTATTTTTGGAAACCCCCACATCGAGCTTGCATGCAGCCAGGGGTCCGAAAAGACGGAGACTCCCACCACTCCTTAGATGCCCCTAAGGCTCGAAGGAATCACAGCTTAAGGCTTTTGGGGCTATATTGAGCCTTAGGGATAACATTGGTCATACTTTGGCATCTGTTTGCCATCGGTACTCGTGCCATTCCTTCCGTGCTCCTGGCGTTCCCGCAGACATGAGATGATCCTTTCCATACCAACTTAGCCTACGCCACGTGCGGGGCAGGGTCCATTTCTGCAGGCAAAGCTACCGAGCACATGTCGCCATGAAACGCTCGCAGAGCGATGCGAGAACGACGTTCCGGCCAGGAGTGGTGTTAGTACCTTGGAACAGCTCCGGCCCCAACGTGACAGAAGGGGACGGAACAACTTCGAGGATGATATATACACACACATAGCATATATCATAATACAATACGATATAATATACCATAATAAAGATTACATACTATATTATATAGATACAGAAACTTATGGGTATATATATATATATACACACCATATATACTACATACCACTAAACATGGCCTTCACAACATGGGGGACCTGGGATCGAGGATGCTGTGAGGACTGCTTTCGGTTTCCATCGGGGTACTTGGGCGTAGGCGTAGCCTGTCAAACTCCACGGTAGCTGCACGGTTTAGGGTTTCGGGTCGCTGCACGGAGAACCTAGAAAGGCAACAGCCCCTTCAACTGTTAAACTTCCCTTTGTAGCACTAGCCTTCACGAAAGTCAAGGAATGTACGAATGGGGGCCCTGCCGCGGACCTGGGCATTCCCTTGACAAGGTCATTGCTGAATACATTCACGTCATGCAATGCTGCAAGCTTCGCAGCTGAAAGCCATAAACAACTACACCCTAAACCCCAAACCCCTAAACCCCTAACCGTCTACACCCTGAGCCCGAAACCCCTGGAAATTAACCTTTAAGCACCCAAAGTGTACCTAAACCCTAAACCCTAAACCCTAAACCCTAAACCCTAGGACCGTGTTCTGAACTCTCAGCCTCTGAACGCCGAAATGCCGCCAAAAGCCCAAACGTACCAGCCACTGAACCGTGGGGTTTAGGGTTTAGGGTTTAGGGGTTTAGGGTTTAGGGTTTAGAGCCACTGAACCGTGCAACCCGTAGAATTATAGCATAAGACCTTGTATTCTTAAATCCGCTCAAATTCCTCTATACCTCTACTAAAACCTCTAAACCCTTGTAAGAACTTGTATCGACCACCCAGAAAAGCATCTGAAGAACCTATTGTAGAGGCCTTAAAAATTAGAATAGGGTTTTGGGGCCCATTGTAGTATAATTCTAATAAGGAACCCCCGAAATAGTATTGGTAATTATCTAGGCCCCTATATTTCTTTGAGTTCGCCCCAAAAAACCAAAAGAGACCTGGGCCCCTCGCAGACAGAAGGAGCAAGTCCTGAGCTTCGTAGGCTAGGTTCAGGGTTTAGGGTTTAGTAGGGTTTAGGGTTTAGAGGTTTAGGGTTTCGAGGTTTAGAGGTTTAGGGGTTTAGAGGTTTAGGGTTTAGAGGTTTAGGGGTTTAGAGTTTTAGGGGTTTAGGGTTATGGATTCGGCTTGGCCATGCTCGGCCATGGAAGCTTCCAGACTAAGGGTGCACGGTTGCTCAGGGGTATTGGCATTGGGTTTGGGGTCTGGAATTCTTTGGGGTTTTAAGGTCAGGTTTTGGGGTTTAGAGTTTCGTGTGGCTTATAGTAACCCTAAACCCTAAGCCCTAAACCCTGAACCTATATGTATGGTTTAGAGCAGGGTTTGGGGTTTAGGGTCGCATATAGGAGCCCTAGACCCCAAACCTATGGAGTTTAGAGCTTCAAGCCCCATCCAGAGCCATGCTTGAGCTATGTTGATCAAACCCTAAACCCTAAACCCTAAACCCTAAACCCTAAACCCTAAACCCAGAAGAAGAAGCCCTCCATCGTCGGTTTTGGGTTTAGGGTCTCCGTATGGCCTCGTCAGGGTTCAGGCTTTGGGTTACCCTAAACCCCAAAGGGTCCAATTACCATTATAGTAGGTACTTACTAGGTATTTGGCCCCCCAAAGTATATACTATACTAGTACTTGCACCCTTTGGGAACCATACACCCAAACAGTAAAGCCTAAACCTTCAAGTCCGACTGATTGGATCTGGCCTTCTGACTTCCAAACCCAAAACGCTATTGAGTCGAACTTCAGCTCGAATATCCTACCCCTTACGTAAACAGACCCTAAACCCTAAACCTCTAAAACCCTACACCCTACACCCCCAAGCCCTAAACCCCTAAACCAAATAACCCAGAGACCCCGCCCGGAGGTCGGGTCCTTGGTGAAGCGGTATGTTTTGTGACGACCCAACGGAAAAATTCCTCACAGACGTGATGACTGGGCTGTCTGAATGCCGCAAACCATGAAAAATAACCCTTCTTCCGAAACCCTATAGAACTATAGAACCCTTAATGGAACCTTTGTAGAACCCTTAACGAAACCTTTTTCGACACCTTTGTAGCGCCCTGAATGGAGCCCCAATAAGCAGGCGAGGTGCCATGAAGCAAAAATACCAGACCGGCACCTCGGCACGCACGGTGGTGCCTGGTCAGACGGCATCGTTCTGGCTTTCGGATTGGTTTAGGGTTTAGGGTTTAGCGTGGAGCTTGGGCTTCGGCATGGCGGGCTTATGGCTTGGCTTTGGGGTTCTGGCTATGGGCCATGGGTTGGGTTTCGTTTAGGGCCTTGAAGTTTAGGGAGGGGGGGGGCGGGGGGGCGTTGGAGTTGCGACATGGAAATGTTCGTGGCATTTTGATCATGTGCCGGAGAACGGCTTAGGGGTCAGGGCTATAAGGAGTTTAGGTGATGGCTGAAAGATGGAATATGCTTCTAACACTCAGGTGGAGCATCGGCCTGCCATGACCTTCCGGGTGGAAATGCTTGTGCCTGCCGCGAAAAGTGCTGCAAACCTTGCTGCAAGTCGCGGCTGGTGGTGCAGACTAGAGGGGGTGTGTTTTGGGAGGTTGACGGATGTCTAATAGTAGAAACCTCCAGGCACGTAATATAGGGGCCTAAACAATTACCTATACTATTTTGGGGGGCTCCTTATTATAACTATAGTATAATGGGTCCCAAAACCCTGTTCTATTTTTAAGGCTCCTACATTACAGCCAAAAGACGAAAGCTTAAGCCGACAAATATTGAAAGCCTAGCCGGCCTAGCCTCGGACCAGCCACACTCCCCAATGAACCTCCTATGACCTTAGTAGGAGCCTTAATAATTAGAATGGGGTTTTGGGGCCCAATATACTATATCTATAATAAGGAAGCCAGCCAAATAACATGGGTACTTGCTTAGGCCCCTTTCTTACGCACATCGCAAACATGTAGGTACTCTACGGTGATGCCAGGAGTGAGATCCATCAACCACATACGTATATGGGAATCATTAGGGCTCCTCGTGCAGAACATGTTCGGGGTATGAAGAATTACTGCTAGGGATCGAGTTTAGAAGCTTCCGCCGGTAAACTCCGAATCAACCACCAAACCCTAAACCCGAATCAACCACCTGAGCACAGACTTACCTCCCTTCTTCAGCCAAACTAGGGGAGCTATGCAAACTGGCCCCGCTTCGGGGGTTGAGTCTAGGGATTTAGGGCGTCGGGCTTTAGGGTTGAGGGTTCAGGGTTGAGGGTTTAGGGTTTAGGGTTGAGGGTTTAAGGTTTAGGGTTTAGGGTTTAGAATCTAGGGATTTAGGGCACCGGGCTTTAGGGTTTGGGTTTTAATGTAGTAGGGTGTGAGGCTTTTCTGTGTTACCATTGCACTTACCATGAACAGGGTTGGGATGTATACACACATATATACATATATAAATATAAGTTTTTACCATGATATAATATAATCTAAATAATATAACAATATATAGTATAGTATGATATAGTATAGTATACTAGAGGCAGACAGGGACTCTGAGGGGATGCTACGACTGGCTGCTCCGACCTTTTAACCCGAGGGTTTTGGAGCAAGGGGTTGGGGTGTGGCAATGAACCTGAAAAGCTCAAGAATAACCTTAGCCGTAGGGTTTTGGGTTTTGGAATTTTGGGTTTAGGGTTTAGCCTTAACTCCAAATAGCCGACCGTTCTAAAGGACTTAACATAAGGGAACTATAAATACGGAAATCTGTAAGAAGGTAGGCTTTGTAGGGTCCGGAAAGGGCTTAGGAATGGCACCTCGGACAACTGAACTCCAAAGTCGAAAGCTTGCGGTTTAGGGTTTAGGGTTTAGGGTTTAGAGTTTAGGGTTGAGTTCATTGAAGCATATGGAGGGTTTAGGATTTAGGGATTTAGGGTTTAGGGGTTTAGGGTTATGTCCTGATACTCCCAGGGCCTTCTTGGTACGGAACTTCCTAAACTCTTTTCTAAACCCCATGAAACAGTTCCTGATTCTGTTTGTTCAGGCCTCTACGCTGCAGAACTTGCTTGACATGTCCGTTCCAAGGCACAGCAGAACGATCACCGCGACGGTGGGATCAAGATATAGGTCCTGCGTTGGGAAGAAAGACGTTGTCTTTAGTGTAGAAGCCTTACTAATTAATTACCAATACTGTTTTGGGAGGTTCCTTATTCTAATTATAGTATAATGGGCCCCAACACCCTCTTCCAATTATTCAGGCCCCTATATCATTAACAGTGCTTTGGGACTGGGTGGTGCGACGGCCGACCCCATAATTGGTGCTTTCACGCACCCTTACATCGCAGTTCGTACCTAAAGCCTAAACCCTAAAGCTTGAGGGTGTCCTATGCTACCCTGGATCTGGCGTCCTCTGGTACAAACCCTTAACCGAACACCTTGAACCCTGAACTCTAAACCCTCTTTATGCTTAGTAATGTTGAAGCCTTATAATAATTAGAATAGGGCTTTGTGATCCTTTAATACTATAATTAAAATAAGGAGCCATCCAAAATAGTATAGGTAATTAATAAGGCCCCTATATTACTTCCGGTCGTCTTGATCGCGGTGGCCCAGTTTCCTGGTGCTGCCTTGCTGTCTGGAGAATACTGTAACGACCTGGCTTGGCTAACCTTAAGGGGTTGATTTTTAGGGTTTTGTGATCGGCTTCAGGGGTTTGGGGGTTCAGGGGTTTTGGGGTTTAGGGTTTTGTGACATGCTTTTTTCTCTGGAGAAATCAGAAACGGAACGATGTAGGAACGCTGAAAAAATCACCAACATCACCGTCTGCTTCACAGCAGTCGTCAACCACGTGTCTGTGAGTGCACCAGACGGCTGTGTAAGGGGCTGCTGCAACATTTGGGCCATCTGTGACTCGGTCCTGTTCGCACACATGCAACTGGTAGATTCCGAAGGTGGCTCTCCACACTGAGAGCCGCCTGCTGTGCATTGGCTGATATCTCGCGTTCGTACTCAAGCAGGATACCAAGAATCAACCTGTTTCCTACTCGAAGACTCTGTCCGAAACCTACCGTTCACCGAAAACTCCGAGCTTGTAATCGATGAAACTCGAAGCCTCAGACCCTGAAGACGAGTGCTCTTCCCTGAGGTAGCATGAAGATGACATTGGTTCTGTTAGGTGCGCTTTTATTCTGGACTTACAAAACAAGTCCGCGCAACTGCTCGAAATAACCACCGCCGGCCCTAAGAGACAGCTAACAGTTAGGTAACACAGACTAGCCACCAACGATGAACCTAAACCCTAAACCCCTAAGACCCCAATACCTTTAAGTTGTGTCTCCTCGTGCTTCGAAGAATGATGGCCAGCTGCTTCGTCCTTCATCGAGCAGCGTGAAGCAAACGGATAATATAGGGGCCTTGACAATTAGAATAGGGTTTTGGGGCCCATTATACTATAATCATAAGAAGGAACCCCCAAAAATAGTACAGGTATGTATTAATGCCCCTATGTTAACAAAATGAAGCTCTGAGACCCGGAAAAGCAAACCTCCACAGAGAAAGCCTAAGCACCAGAGATCCACCACCCTTGGTTTCAGGGTTTAAAGGTTTACGGTTTAAGGTTTAAGGTTTCGGGTTTAGCTTGAGATGGTCCTTCATCGTATATGTAACCCTTATAGAACGAAAAAAAGCCGCCTCTAAACCTAAACCCTAAATCGATGACACTTGCGCAAGCGTTTGGAAAGAGTCGGGATCGAATCTTGCAGAGTGCCGGGAATCTGGAACAATTATTTTAGCAAGTTTGCCAAGCAATCTTGCAATCTTCCCCCACTTGCCACACCTGAGGGGGGAGCAAGATTGCCGGCAAGCTTGGTCAGTCTTGGTCTAAAAGGTAAACTAGTCGACAAGCAAGTGGGGCAAGTGGGGCAAGATGACCAAGATTGCAAAATGACCAAGATTGCTGGCAATCTTGCTTTTGACCAAGTTTGACCAAGATGGTTCCACAAAACAATTTTTCTAAATTCCCCGCACAATAGAATCTAGCATGATGGGTTGGTTACATTAGAAGTTTAGGTTTTTCCTGCATATAGATTCAGAGTTCACATTCGAGTTTACATTATTTAGTTCACGCCTGGCTGAAGACAAGAAGTACACTGGACTGCTGGTAACATGGTCACTGCCGCACGGACGATAGTCTTTTTGTTGTAATGTAGGGGCCAGAATAATTAGAATAGGTT